CCGGCTTGTGACCCTGACTATTCTCTGCCTGCTCCTTCGGTACCTCGCTGCCCGCACGTTGCTGACCTGGCCTGCCTGACTACACCTTATGCTACTCAGACGATCCATCCCGCACAGATCCAGCCATCCCTGCTCACACACCTTCTGCCTCTTCACATCAGGCTTCCTACCTGCATATACCTCTGGCGGATCCCTCTACCACGAGCCAGATGACTCGGTGCCCGCTGTCGAACTTGGTGACCCGGTGCCCACGATTCTGCTAGATGATTTGGTGCCCGCTGTCGTGCCAGATGGCTCAGTGCCCGCTGTCGTGCCAGATGACTCGGTGCCCGCTGTCAAGCTTGGTGACCCGGTGCCCACGGTTCTGCTAGATGACTCGGTGCCCGCTGTCGTGCCAGATGACTCGGTGCCCGCTGTCGAGCTTGGTGACCCGGTGCCCACGGTTCTGCTAGATGACTCGGTGCCCGCTGTCGTGCCAGATGACTCGGTGCCCGCTGTCGAGCTTGGTGATTCGGTGCCCGCGGTTCTGCTAGATGGCTCGGTGCCCAATGACTCGGTGCCCGCTGACTTGCCCGGTGACTCGGTGCCCGCGGTCGTGCCAGATAACTTGGTGCCCAATGACTCCGTGCCCGCTGTCGTGCCCGGTGACTTGATGCCCGCTGTCATGCCAGATGACTCGGTGCCTGCTGTCGTGCCAGATGACTTGGTGCCCACTGTCGTGCCAGATGACTCGGTGCCTGCTGTCGTGCCAGATGACTTGGTGCCTACTGTCGAGCTTGGTGACCCGGTGCCCGTGGTTCTGCTAGATGGCTCGGTGCCCGCTGACATGCACGATGATTCGATGCCCGCTGACTTGCCCGGTAACTCGGTGCCCGCTGACTTGCCCGATGACTCGGTGCCCGCTATCGAGCTTGGTGCCTCGGTGCCCGCTGTCCTGCCAGATGACTCGGTGCCCGCTGTCGTGCCTCCGCCCGCTGCCCAGCCTGACGTGCCTCCGCCCGCTGCCCAGCCTGACGTGCCTCCGCCCGCTGCGCAGCCTGATGTGCCTCCGCCCGCTGCCCAGCCTGACGTGCCTCCGCCCGCTGCGCAGCCTGACGTGCCTCCGCCCGCTGCGCAGCCTGACGTGCCTCCGCCCGCTGCCCAGCCTGACGTGCCTCCGCCCGCTGCGCAGCCTGACGTGCCTCCGCCCGCTGCCCAGCCTGACGTGCCTCCGCCCGCTGCGCAGCCTGATGTGCCTCCGCCCGCTGCGCAGCCTGATGTGCCAGCCCCTGATGTCCAGCTAAACTGGCCAATAACTGATTCCCAGCCTGCTCCTGGAAATCCTGTGTCCAGCGACCTGCCTTTCTGGGTTCCCCTACATAAAGAGAAGTCTGCCAGCAGGAAACCCAGCCAGCCGGTTGACTCCGGCAGTAAGATATCCAGCCAGTTACCTGACCTGGGCGGTGGAACATTTTGCCCACTAGGGACTGTTTGGAACGACCTGGTTCCTGTCAAGTCCATCCCCACCATCAGGGGCCCTGGTGAATAGGCAGACTGGGACTTAGACTCTGCGCCCTGGGGAATCCTGTCCTGAGGACTGCTAGGGGTATCACCAGACGGTCGTTAACAGAACCATATGGCCGGCCTGACCCTTCCACCTCTCCAGCCCTGACTGCGCCTGTGTTCCTGCACATACTAAGATTAGTGGAAGGTTGGTTTATTAACTGAGTTTTGTATATTTGGGTAGTTAATAATAAATTATATTATTATATCATTCCTGAAGCCTGTTACTTCCCTGTGTCAGTCCACACATTTCTGGTCATACCCGGATCCCTGACAATCCCTTTAGACGTGCATGCTCTTCGATGCTTTGGCGTTTAGCTGTGCAATCTGCTGATTAGTTGATGATTACACTCTATCAGCAGAAAGTCCCAGGAAGACTATAACAATAAGGGTAGGGTCTCTAAACCCCATCCACCCAGCCCCAGCATCCCTTAAACGGGGTCTTCACAACGGGGGGTCAGGAAGGATTGGCTGATCTCATGACTACTGTGATTGGCTGTCACAGTGTTCACACGATCAGGAGTCGGTCCTGCTGGCTAGCGATCTTTACCATCCACCCAGCCCGAGCATCCCTTTAACAGGGTCAGATCTCCGTATTTATTCATTCATTTATTGGACTATGTACTGATCTTTCACAATACCAATTGTATATGAAACATTTTATTTACTTATCCCTTTAGACGTGCATGCTCTTCTCTGCTGCAGGGTTTAGCTGTGCAATCTGCTGATCAGTTGATGATTACATTCCATTAGCAGAAAGTCCCAGGAAGACTATCACAAGAAGGGAAGGGTCTCTAAACCCCATCCACCCAGCCCCAACATCCCTTTAACCTTGGTCTTCACACCAGAGGGGAGGGCAGGAAGGATTGGCTGATCTCATGACTACTGTGATTGGCTGTCACAGTGTTCACACAATCAGGAGTCGGTCCTGCTGGCTACCAATCTTTAGCAGAGACAAAGAGCTGTCGTTGACAGCTCAGTCACTGTGTTGGGAGTGCGCTGTGAGCGTGATGAAAAATCCTAAATTCTGAAACAGGAAAGGAGAATAAATCTTACAAATCTTTTTTAATTTGTAAACAATCTGACCGTATAATCTGAAGCTGGCCACACACTATACAATCTGATTGTACAATCTTGTAACATGAAGACAAATCTAAAGAACTCATTTGTATCCAATCAGGAAGGGTCCAACTTGCAGGGTGACTGGTCTTATCTCCGCGCCCCCGCCTGTAGTTTTTCTGCAGGCAGGCTGTAGTGGGTGGAGCCACCAGTCACTGTTGCTCTCTCTCCTTGTGCAGGGTGGCTGGTCTTGTCTCCGCCCCCTCCTGTAGTTTTTCTGCAGGCAGGCTGTAGTGGGTGGAACCACCAGTCACTGTTGCTCTCTCTCCTTGTGCAGGGTGGCTGGTCTTGTCTCTGCCCCCTCCTGTGTTTTCCTGCAGGCAACCTGTAGTGGGTGGAGCCTCCTAGGCCCCTCATACAGCCCGGCTCTCTGCAAAAAAAATAATTTAATAAAGTAAAAAAAAAATTAAAATTAATGCAAAATTATTAATCAATAAAACATTTAATAAAGTTACAAAATAAATAAAACTAATTAGTCTGTACTTTTTTTTACTTTATTAATTTTTTTACTGGCATTCATTTTGTAATTTATTTGTAAAAAAAAAATGTTTTTGCTTTATTCATTTTTTATTGACTAATTAATGTTGTATTACTTTGTACATTTTTTTTACTTTATTAATTTTTTTTTTTTTACTAAGTAATACAACATTATTAGTCAATAAAAAATTAATAAAGCAAAAACATTTTTTACAAATGAATTACAAAATAAATCCGTCTGTACATTTTTTTTTTTACTTAATTAATTTTTTACTAAGCAGTACAACATTAATTAGTCAATAAAAAAAATTAATAAAGCAAAAACCTTTTTTTTTACAAATGAATTACAAAATGAATTCGTCTGTACATTTTTCTTTTTTACTTACAAAATTAATTTGTCAGTAAAAAATAAATAAAGTAAAAAAAAACATATTTTTATTTTGTAATTCATTTGTAAAAAAATGTTTTTGCTTTATTCATTTTTTTTATTGACTAATTAATGTTGTATTGCTTAGTAAAAAATAAATAAAGTAAAAAAAAAAATGTACAGACGTATTTATTTTGTAATTCATTTGTAAAAAAATGTTTTTGCTTTATTCATTTTTTATTGACTAATTAATGTTGTATTACTTTGTACATTGTTTTTTACTTTATTAATTTTTTTTTTACTAAGTAATACAACATTATTAGTCAATAAAAAATGAATAAAGCAAAAACATTTTTTTACAAATGAATTACAAAATAAATAGTCTGTACATTTTTTTTTTTACTTTAATGTTGTATTGCTTAGTAAAAAACAAAATAAGTAAAAAAAAAAATGTACAGACGTATTTATTTTGTAATTCCTTTGTAAAAAAATGTTTTTGCTTTATTCATTTTTTTATTGACTAATAATGATGTATTACTTAGTAAAAAAAAAAATTAATAAAGTAAAAAAAATGTACAAAGTAATACAACATTAATTAGTCAATAAAAAACTGAATAAAGCAAAAACCTTTTTTTTTACAAATGAATTACAAAATGAATTTGTCTGTACATTTTTCTTTTTTACTTACGAAATGAATTTGTCAGTAAAAAATAAATAAAGTAAAAAAAATTGTACAGACGTATTTATTTTGTAATTCATTTGTAAAAAAATGCTTTTTGCTTTATTCATTTTTTATTGACTAATTAATGTTGTATTACTTTGTACATTTTTTTTACTTTATTAATTTTTTTTTTACGAAGTAATACATCATTATTAGTCAATAAAAAATGAATAAAGCAAAAACATTTTTTTACAAAGGAATTACAAAATAAATACGTCTGTACATTTTTTTTTTTACTTAATTTATTTTTTACTAAGCAATACAACATTAAAGTAAAAAAAAATGTACAGACGTATTTATTTTGTAATTCCTTTGTAAAAAAAAATGTTTTTGCTTTATTCATTTTTTATTGACTAATAATGTTGTCTTACTTAGTAAAAAAAAAATTAATAAAGTAAAAAAATATGTACAAAGTAATACAACATTAATTAGTCAATAAAAAATGAATAAAGCAAAAACATTTCTTTACAAAGGAATTACAAAATAAATACGTCTGTACAATTTTTTTTTTCTTTATTTTTTACTGAAAAATTCATTTTGTAAGTAAAAAAGAAAAATGTACAGACAAATTCATTTTGTAATTCATTTGTAAAAAAAAGGTTTTTGCTTTATTCATTTTTTATTGACTAATTAATGTTGTATTACTTTGTACATTTTTTTACTTTATTAATTTTTTTTTTACTAAGTAATACATCATTATTAGTCAAAAAAAATGAATAAAGCAAAAAACATTTTTTTACAAATGAATTACAAAATAAATACTTCTGTACATTTCTTTTTACTTTATTAATTTTGTTTTACTAACTAAGACAACATTATTAGTCAATAAAAAATGAATAAAGCAAAAACATTTTTTTACAAATGAATTACGAAATGAATTCGTCACTGCTACTTTTACAAGGTCATAGCTGGGTTTGCAAAGGCATTTGCTGCACACAAAGCAGGGAGGATAGATGTCAATGCAAGATTTTGTGCCTGGAGTGCTACTTTAAACCCGGTGCCCAAGGCTCTAGTTTCCAGATCTGTGATTGGCTACAGATTGCTGAGATCATTGGCGGCCATCCTAGCGATTCTCGATCATTGGCAGGGCCGGGACAAGGGGTGGGCAGGAGGGGCAGCAGAGCAGGGGGGGGGGGGGGCAGATAATGTCAATACTTATGTAAACAAAAATTAAAAAAAAAAAATTAAAAAAATTAAAAAAGCTACTTTGTAACAAAAGCTGAGACAACGAATATCCCGGAGTGCCTGTCAGCCGGGCGGAGCGCGGATTTATTTCATCATCTCAGGGATCCCGATGATTCCAGAACCCAACAAGTGATCTCTGGGAAACCTTCCAGACGAGTATGGAGGAGAGTCAGGCTGGGTGGGGAGAGGAGTGTCAGGGCTCAGTCTATGGGAGGTGGCTGTCACTAAATTTATAAACCTCACACACATCTCCACTACATGATCCCCGCACACCGACACTCCAGCATCTCCTCTCCTGTCCAGGGACACACCGCACCATGGGCCGCCAGAAGGAATTTATCAACAGCATGAACGCTATGCTACGGATCAGGAACAAACTGCTGAGGCAAGCCCTCTCTGAGTGCCTGGGGACGCTCATACTGGTGGTAAGTGCTTACAAAAAAAACTGTTTAAATTGCAAAAAAAAAAAAAAAAAAAGAAAAGCTGTTTGAGGCAAACAATGAATTTGTTAAAAAAAAAAAAAAAAAAATTATTTTTTTTAATTGATTTTTTTTTGTTCATTTTTTTTAATTTTTTATTCAAGAAATTAATTTTGTATTCATAAAAAAATGTTTTTACTGTATTCATTTTTTTATTACATAATTAATGCGGTATTCATTTTGTCATTTTATTATTTTTTTTATTAAATAATGAATGCAGTATTTGG